CTAGTAAGTTACTAGAATAGAAATGACTCATAATCTCTAATTTCTCCTCAGCAACCCAGTGCTATTTGTAAAAATTCTTCACTAGATTTACAAATTTCTTTGATGAAAATAGTTTTAAATGGAAAATGTAGAGAGAACTCATAGGAGAGTTATGGATAGGCCTCCCAAAAGATACTAGTATAGTGGTTCTCAAAATGAGTTTTCTATAGGAGCCAGAATTATTACTAAATTGTTTTCAGACCACTACAGGGATAAGGGGATTTAGAGACCTACAACCTCTTCTCCTGCAGCTTGATTTTTATCATCAATTTTATTACAACAAAATCCCTAAGTTACAAAGTTTTAAAATTGCCCAAAATTTCCAATTACATATCTTACAGCTGAGAAGAGAGAAAAGAAATATTAAGACTTGAGGAAACTCTAGTGACTATGATTATATATTTAAGATTAGTTATACCAGGGTAAGAATTCTAGTTTTTTGGCTTGCTGTGTGATCTTGGGCAGTTATTTACCTTCTGTAAGATGGAGAAAACAATATCCGTCTTATAAACTTATCATGGATAGTAGATAAAATAACATTTCTAAGGCATAGACTCTAACTCATAATAAACTTTCGAGAAATGATAGAAATTGTAATAATTTTAACAATAGTTACCATTGATGTGTTAAAACATAAATTAAAGATTGTGGATAGAAAAGGCTGGTTATTGCAGAGATAAAAATTATAACTTCAAATTTAATGATGTCCTAGATTAACTCACTGGCTTAGTAAGTTAAGATCTTACTTTTCTGCACTTTTCAGGCACTCTTGAAGTGTTGTGAAAAGGACTAATCAATTTCTGTTTTCACCACCAGTATCTGGGAATAAAGATAAATCTTTACACAATAGCTTATGCAAATTTTGCACACTAGATCAGAAATAACAGTAATTTAGGAAAAAATCAAAGTCATGGAGTCTAGTTTAAAAAAGTGAAAAATTTCTGAATTGTGATAAGTCCCACTTTAGGAAATTTTATCAAAATAGTCTAAAGTTGGCTAGGCAGAGTTAAAACTATTGGTGAGTCTATTTTTAATAAATTATAAATAATACATAACATATGACCCAACCTCTTTGGGTTTCAATGTCTTCGTCTATAAAATTTAGTATTCTTTACAATACTTCAAACTAATTTGTTATGACTCAGATATCTCTGCACATCAAGATTCAGCACTGACAGTTTTATTTTTAAAAAATCTCAAGGATCAGATTGTTATAGCTTAATTTTAAAACTGAGGTTTTAAGAATTTAAACACATCCCTTGTAACTGTAATACTTGTCCTCAAGATGGTTTCATTGAGTTTATAAAAAGTAGATGACATATTTTGTGTGACAATGCATTTTTTTTCTTTTCTGACCATCAGTTCTTTGAATGTGGCATTATTCAACCCAATATATATTATTTTATGGGTAAGTCTCAGTAATCAAAACTACTAAGGAAATTCTATAAATGAAGAGGTTTTTTTGTTTTCTTAAGCAACACCTGAACCAAAAAAATCATCAATGGGCTCTTTACATCTGATAAATAATTTACAGTAAAAATTCTTTTCTTTTTTTCTCTGTTTTATAGTTATTGAATGTAAATACTCTATTCCAAAAGTACAGTTTTTGTTTCATTCTTATTTCTCATGAACATATTAAATCTTATGTCTCAAAAAACCCAAAATTAAATGTTATTTTTAAGAATATTCTATAAAAGTGAATGCCTTTGCAGTGATAAAGGTGCTATATATACATTACTATAATATAATATTTGGAAAACAGGGTAACAGATTCGAACAATCTCTAAATTATGAGCCTATACAGCAACTAATTTATATTTAATATATAGGTAAAAAATTAAACTGTATAGATGGCAGGGATGTCACTACTATCTGCTTGTTAAGGCATAATTAACATATAGGTTTGCTAAATTTCACTCCAGTCCTTGTTTCAATGAATGAGCGAAACAGAGAGGAAAGAGGACTTGGTGACTCATGAATTCATATTCTATGTAGCTGGTGTTCTTCACAGCGACCACTAAAATTAGGTTTAAAAAAGGTTATTTGATGATTGTCTAGATATATCTTTTCAAGCAGAGTTATGGTCTTACCAATATTTAGTTGATAAATGACAAGGAAGCAAAATGGATGTGTAGTTAATGAAGACAATATTTGAATATGAGCATAAGCATAAGTGCACTCAACATCTTTATATATTTTCCTCTAAAGTATTTGGGAAAATTGAAAGTTGTTTTCTTAGGCAGTGAAAAATAACAATCTCTTAGGAATGAAGAACAACTTAATTGGGGACATTTTGTTTATGCAGAGGCATCCTCAGTGTTCAAATGGGAGTTACTCTTCCTATTGCTTGACTTGAAGGCAAGTACATTTTGTGCATCTTCATTATCCAGGGTGCTGGGGTTTTTGAAAAACCTAAATATTGACGAAACCAGTCACTCACAAATTGTGTTAACTAAATGTAGAAATAGAGTAAAGAGAAAATAAAGAATAAAATATTTTCTTTTGCATACTACTGCTTGCTTTAATTTCCTCAGGACAAGGTTTCTTATTAGAGCCACAAAATTTCTGGCCCAGAATCCTTACAATATGTAAGCTTCAAACATATTTAGATTTATCTGTCCTTCAGTAAAAAAATACTATACTCAGAAAACACATGAGAACTATTGTCATACAACATTCACAGCATTTATTTTATTCACTTGTCATATATTTATTTGTATGTCTTTACAGAAATAATCTGAGTTTGTTAAGGTGGTGAAAATAGTTTTTATCTGTTTTCTAAACATCTATAGTGACTAGGAGGTGGCCATGGGATCAGTGAATCCAAGTATTCCTGCATAATCTCATTGTTTATTATTTAAAATTCTTAATTTATTCAAAACAAAGCAATTTAAAGTGTATGTATTCTCATGTCCAAATACAAAATGTTGAAAGACATAATCTTGTTCTGTTTTGTGGTGTATATTCTGTAGAATGTGTTTAATATATTTGACATTTATAATACAGGATTGATACTTACCTGTTCTATAAAAGGTGTAGTTTCATTGTTCTCCATGGGATCAGACATGGGTCACAAAGTGCCCTGAGTGAATCACCTGTAATGTTTTCATCTTGCTGTTTGATTGTTCACCCTTTGCATTTAACAAATTAAATATTCAAAATAAAATTTCTAGATGACTTTAGTCCTTGCTGCAAGGCAGCAATATTGCACCCCTGTCATGTTTTGAAAAGAGCTAAAATTAAAAATCAATAAGACATTTCTCTTCTCTGCTCTTCTTTCTTTGTGTTTATTCACAAAAGTTCTGATAACAGAGAAGGCATAATAACACGTAATTAAATTTTGGTTTTGCTTTCAGTTTCCAATTAGTATTTTGTCTCATCCAGAATAATCAAATGCCCTGTCTTCTTCACAGTTGTACCACAGCAACTTGAACAGTAACAGGAATGTGGTAGGTGTTCAGTTAATATCTGTTTAATTAATCTGACATAGGGATGTGTTTAAATAATCTTATACTATGTCAGATGATATTTAAATCCTCTATTAAGTGAACCCCAGTAAGTTCTTAGCTTTTAGTATAAATTCTTGCCTTTTTTTTTTTTTTTTTTTTGAGACAGGGTCTAACTGTGTTGCCCAGGTTAGAATGCAGTGGCAAGATCATGGCTCACAGCAGCCTCAACTTCCAGGGCTCAGGTGATCTTCCCACCTCAGCCTCCTGATGTAGCTGAGACTACATGTCACCACTCCTGGCTAATTTTTGTATTTTTTGTAGAGATGGGGTTTCACCATGTTGCCCAGACAAGTCTTGAATTCTGGGGCTCAAGTGCTCTGCCTGTCTCAGGCCCCCAAAGTGCTGAGACTACAGGCATGAGCCACTGCACCTAGTCAAGTCCTTCACTTTTCATTCATGTTTTATCAGTGAAGAATTTGGTTGTAGAAGGAAAAAATTATTAATCATATCTCTTTATTACTTTGTTCAGGAAGCCTTGCCAAGATTCTGATTATTTGTACATGTTTCAGTTGCAACACCTTTGTAAATAACATTCTTATAAATGTAAAATGAAGATGACTAATATTCACTGGAGCTTATTTATACCCAGATTCTTAGTGCTTTCTTTGAGTGTAGTAAGAGAGATTCAATGGATCAATACTCTTTATGGGGTCTGGGGAACAATATCAGCTCTTTATCATATGTCTGCTATAGCAGACTCTGGAAAACTTACGAATTAGCTCAGTAATAACTTCTAATTATGTAGAAAATAATAACAAGCAGAGAAATGCATTCTGCGTTCATAACATTGAATGTTTGTGCATTGACATTCATAAATCCTACTTGAGGGAACAGACCTTTCTTCGTGGTATAGATAAGTTCGATAGGATAATATCCATAAACATCAGAATACTGTCATGATTTATGTTCATACATATTTTAAATAAAGAAGATATAGGTCATAAAATTACCTGACAAATCTGGGTCTCAACACTTTTATGTGTAAAATTAAATATTCTATATGACAATTTCAGTCTAAAGTTCTATGGTTTGGCTTTCTTGTTACATTGAGACTCGTCTTTAATACTGGGGCATTAAAATAGTAAATGGAATTACATAAAACTAGTACTTCTGGAGTATCAAGTGAATTGCTGCAGGACTATTTCTGATCTTGGTCACTTAGCAGTTTATACCCATATTCTTGTAACTGTTAAAGTTTCCTAAAGAAACTGACTGCAAGAGAAATCAGCAGATGTGATTTTTTTGTGACAATGCAGCTTTTCTAGCCACTATCTCTTTGAATCTGGCACTATTCACCAAGCATAGAAATGTTCTTGCTCTTAATAAGCTTCAGTAGTCAAAACTATGCAGAAGAATTCTATAAATGTAAGGTTTTTTTTTCCCCCTCGTTTCAACAGCAGCTGAGTCAGACAGATGATCTGTACACTGTTTTATACCAAGAAATAATTTACAATGAAGATCCTTCTCTTTCTCTGTATTTTTTTTTTCTTTGGTGTCCTCATTCCACCAGGTAATATGAATATCATTGCTAGAGGGGTCAAGGGGCCAGCCTTAAAGTGGGGGAGTTGGGATATTTAAAGTAGAATTGACATTATAAAATTATTTTATTAATACCATAACCATGTCATATTACATTTATTCAAAGTTCTTAGATAAAAATATTTGAATAATTTCCAAGTACAACATCCTAGAAAAGGCTGTAATTCACCTTAATTACATGAGAATATACATTCATATATAAATGGTTAGAAGAAAATAATGCTACATTGATTTCATCAATCCATGTAATGTTTGTTTATTCAACACTCAAATTTAACTGAGTTTGATCTATTAATAGATTAGAAACAACTCGTAAAGTTATGAATTATGCTTGGAAATCATTGAGCCCCACGTTAATATTATTTACAGCAGAAGTTAATCAGATAAAATGCCTTGCTAAAAGTTTCAAATTGTATTATATTAATGATTGAGACATGCTGCGTGTCTACTCACTTCCAGTTAAATTCTCCTTTCTCTTTATCTTGCTTCTTTCTCTGACTACCAAGCTATCTGTCAGTATTGAGATCAGAGGAGGAATCTTAAAATAAACCTGTAGCAACTCATTCTTTTACTGCTACTCTGCCCTAATAGTCAAACATAAATAGCCTGTTAGCTGGCAATTTCTCACCAAAAGGGGACAAGTAGACGAACTTCAATTAATAATGTAATTTAAATCAGAGAACACGTTTTCTTTGTTATAAAAATTAATTAGAGCAAGCTTATTAAAATTCCCTCCATATTTAGAACTTTTCTGAGGTATGAAGAATTATATAGATTTCAATAAACACTGATAGATTTTCTCCTTAATACTGATGTTAATAGCATTTGTTCTACCTTTTGCCTGTATTAATTCATTTTTTCTAACGATAGCCATGCAAGGTAAACTTATTAATATCCAAGTCATTTATTCGTTTAGCTGGATATTCAAACATGTGTATGGCATGTTTATTCTTTTGTAAAACCTGTTATAATATATAGGACCATTAAATAGAGTCAAATACATTTGTGTCCTTATTTCCGAAAATATATTTTCTTTTACTTTTAAAATAATTTTTTTTTTTACTCTACAGTGAGCTCTTACCAACCTGTTAGCACTCCTATGAAATTATTGACAACCGTATGTCAACAGAAGTTTGAAAAAATGTACTCAAAGACAAATACGTCCTCCACAATATTTGAAAAGGCACAAGATGGGACAGAGAAAAGCGGCACAGGTAAAATAAAATAAGTAGAATTGTGTCTTGCACATTTTAATCAATACTTATTGACTGAAATGAAGTAAATATTCTGAGTATATACCCTACCCCAGTCCCTGTTTACTTATATGTTCTTGTATTTCACCTCATAGCTTTATAAAGACCGAATTTTCATGTTTAAAACAAGAATGAAATCTTATTTTAAGTTGTAGAGACTGATTTCTTTTGATGAAATGCTGACTAGACAAATGTCCTTATTATTTACAAGAAGAAAGACTCTCTAACCATTGTTTTCAGCAACATTATTACTTTTTTAAATGTTGTTAATGCAATTGTGCTTAGGAGTTATACTGTTGCCTCAGATTCCCTTCTACCTGACAGCTGGCAAACTATTATTATTATTGTTATTATTTTGTGATAGAATTTCACTCTTATTGCCCAGGCTGGAGTGCAATGGTGCTATCTCGGCTTATTGCCACCTCCGCCTCCCGGGTTCAAGTGCTTCTCCTGCCTCAGCCTCCAGAGTAGCTGGGATTACAGGTGCCCACCACTGTGCCTGGCTAATTTTTTGTGTTTTTAGTAGAGATGGGGTTTCACCATGTTGGCCAAGCTGGTGGAAAACTCCTGACCTCAGGTGATCCACCCAACTTGGCCTCCCAAAGTGCTGGGATTACAGGTGTGAGCCACTGCACCCGGCCATGGCAAACCTACTTTTATCAATCACCACTGTTTAAAACTCTGAGATTTTTAAATATAAAAAGTATATCATTATATGAAAAGGGTGATGAAGGTGTTCTGTTTCTTTTAAAGTATGATTGAATTGTGATAATTCAAAAAGGCAATTGAGCAACAAAAGTCTGAACAAGGGACTGGAAACTTATTTTTAAAAAAATATTTTTGGGCCGGGCCTGGTGGTTTATGCCTGTAATCCTAGCACTTTGGGAGGCTGAGGTGAGCGGATCAAGAGGTCAGGAGTTTGAGACTAGCCTGGCCAATATGGTGAAACCCCATCTCTATGAAAAATACAAAAAAAAAAAAAACATGATGGTGTGCACATGTAAAAAAAAAAAACTAGCCAGGTGTGGTGACACATGCCTGTAGTTCCAGCTACTCTACTCAGGAGGCTGATATAGGAGAATTGCTTGAGTCCAGGAAGTGGAGGTTGCAGTGAGCCGAGATTGCGCCACCATATTCCAGCCTGGGCAATAGAGAGAGACTCTATTTCAAAAAATATATATATATATATTTTTGACTAAGTTTCACCAGATGTCAGGATGATGTTGGAATTGGGCTTTTCAGTGTTCCTGCCTTTACGAATCATTAATTTGAACAATTATCCATGCACGAAAATGCCTTCACAAGAGCTACGGAAACCATGTGGGAGATTACAACACCTTGGTAGAGTACAGAAATTAGAAAACACACATTATGCTACCTTTCCCCCAAACCTAGATAGCACAACCTGGAGAGAGACACCATCCCTGTGAAGTAAACAGAGGGAAATGACCATGAAACTTTGCCTTGGACCCCAACACTGGGTGGCCTCTCCAAGTAGAACCCAGTACTGAGTAGGCCCCCATGGCCTCAGACTTCAGATCAGTACCTGAAGACAGAGCTTCTAAGTCTGCTCTGGCACCAGGCTGGATCTGACAGACTCTGGCTCTAAGCCAGCCCAGCAGACTCAGAGTCTGGACTTACTGCACCTCTATGCCTGCCCAGTACCCACAGTACTAGTTCAACCACCACAGACTCAGGCTCTAGGCTCAATAATCACTCAGGTTCCAGGGTTTCTCTAGAGCTATGCTGGCCCCAGTGTTCCTGGGCTCTGGATCTCCCCCCAACCAAGCTAAACCCTGGGCTTCAGGCTTTTCCAAGAACAGGTGAGCTCCATAGTCATAGTCATCAAGTAAGGACCTGAGGACTCAGCCCTGAGGCTGGCCACTGTGAATACAGGCTCCAGGTTCACTCAGTACCTGGCCAGCTCCTGTAACCCCAGACTCACCTTCATTCCAAACCTATGTTTTAGGACCCACAGCATTTAAAGGTTCTTCCCTCTTGGCCATTACACCACTTGACCAGTCACTTCAAGGTTAAAATTTCCTTCAGTTCTTGTATATCGGCTTAGTAGAGTCAGAAAGTAGAATAAAAAAATTGCTACCTATGTAACTAGCAAAGGGCTTAAATCTAGAATATATTTAAAATTCTAATAAATAAATTTAAAAGGCTAGGTAATTCAGTAGAAATATGGAAAAAAAAGATTTACACAACTTAAAAGAGTGGATATAAAACTTCTTTAAAGTGCTCATCCTCATTTGCAATCAAGAAAATGCTAATTCAATCCATGATAAACTACCACCATATATTCAACAGAATATTGAAAATTTGAAATCTACCCAACAGATTATTAAATATGCTGCAAGAAATAGTACAAGAATGCCAAAAGCAACCATATTCTCCCTGTAGCAAGTAACCTATATGATTATCTAAAGTGTATTAGAAAAACAAAGTGAATGCTATGTATTAAGGAAAATCAGTACTGCACAACTACATCCAACCACATAGTTGAAGTACATGAACATAAATTAAGAAATCCAGAAGCAAATAAACTGTGTGGTTCTCTCTCTCTAGGATACACACACACAAACACAGTTCCTCAATTTACGGTGGAATTATGTCTTGATAAAGACATTTTGAGTTGAAAATATCATGAATTGAAAGTACGTTTGATACCCCCTAACTTGCAGAACAATATAGCTTAGCCTACCCTAGTTTAAACATGCTCAGAATACTTGCATTAGCCTACAATTGGGCAAAATCATCTAACACAAAGTGTATTTTATAATATATTATTGAGTATCTCATGGAGTGTATTTGATAATGTACTAAAATCAAAAAGCAGAATTGTTGTATGGGCACTTGTAGTATGGTCTCCACTGAATGTATATGTTTTTTGCATCATTCTGAAGATGAAAAATCGAGTCAAACCATTTTAATTCGAGGACCACCAGTATAAACAGTCGTATGCTGTAAAACAGTGTTTCAGTCAGTGTCAGACTGCATATAGGACAGTGGTCCCATACTTAAAATACCATACTTTTATTGTTCCTTTATTATGTTTAGATACTAAATACTTACCATTACGTGACAGTTGCCTAGAGTATTCAGTCCAGTAACATGTACACTTTTGTAGCACAGGAGCAATAGGCTATACCTTATAGCCTAGGTGTGTAATAGGCTGTATCATCTAGGTTTGTGTAAGTACAGTTCATGGTGTTTGCACAAGGACAGAATCACCTAATGGCACATTTCTGAAAATATACCCATATCCTTAAATGACACATGATTATATACACATATGTACACATGTATTTGTGTGTATGTATGTATATATACATTTGTGTGTATAGCTAGATTTATACATATTTTTATATGTACATATATTCAAAAACAGAAGTAAAAAATGCATACTCGAGGGATACACATATTAACATAAGGCAAAGTAAGGAAGTTAGTACTTAATTCAGGACAGTGATTACTCTTAGCCAGAGGGAGGGGGTTATGATGTGATGAGAGTGTGTGGAGCTTCTAGTAATATCTTATTTCTTGATGCAGGTAGTAATATCATGGCTATTTCATTTACAATAATATATCAAGCTCTGCATCTGTATTTGTGTTCCTTCTTTCAGAAGGAAATACCCTTGTGAAATGTTGCTTTGTGAACAGAACTATGCTGAGGTTATTTGATTATGAAATATACCTTTCCTATTGCAAGTTAAACACTGGGCTTGAATTATTATGATTACCATTATTCATATTACTATTACTATTTACCAATAATATACAATCATTAGCAAAGATAACTGCTTAAAGTGCTGGCTCCTAGGTTACTGAGTTCACAACACTGCAAATCCAGAGTATGGTAAAAAGAGTGTCCTCTGATAGTGTAGTCTCAAAATCCTCAATTATTTTAAATGCTTGCTGCAACTTTGTGGGTAACATTACTACTATATATAAATGATATATATGTATTTTATTTAAAAAGATGGTCAAGAAATTGGTTAATTATAGAATAAAAAGGTTTTTGAGATGAAAGCATACTTGTAGACATCAGTGATAAGAACTTACTCATTTTCATCCACCTTCTGAAATATGTCCAGCAATGCATACTTATATTAGTCTAGTAATGGTAGATATGTACTTCCTAGGACAATCTCTTCCAGAATTTTAATAAAACTTTTAATTAATAAAAAAATTATTTTTTTATTTTAAAACGATATTTTTAAATATGTTTTTAAAACCTGGATCTCCAGTGATCTGTGCCATTTCTTTGTAGTTTTATTCTGTGGAGATACAGAGAATAAATGAATACCTGGAACTATCCATCAGAATTTCTGTTAGTGACAGAAAGACCTTATATCTAGATATAGATGTCATTCCATATGATTGTGGAAGTTACAAAGTCGAAGGAATTATGGTGTAAAGTGAAATTCAAAACGTTTTTAAAAGTTTCTATGGCATTGGAAACGTTAGGATGAAAGAGAAAAAAGGCAAGCTAGCACTAGAAAATTAAGAACCTTGCCGAAATGTTCACTATGTCCACAGCTTGCGGTTATTTACTATTTCTTTATTCGAATTACTCCAAAGTGTCTATTTATTTTCTAGCAGACATCTCTTGTGCTTGACTCTGGGGTGCAGATCCAAGAGGAGATGAGATATCTAAGGAAAATAAAATTGCATCTTTCAATAGTTTAGAATTGCTCAAGTCAGGTTAAAAGGAACAATGGAATCTTATAAAGGAAGAGAATATTTACCACAGAACAGTACTAACGATGAATAATAAATGAGAGGATGGAGATCATCTCACTCATATAAAATGGTTCTAGACAATGAGCAAGACAGACAGAGGAAACTGTTAATAAATTGCAAGCCCCCCAGAAATCCCTTATTGAGTCATGACAAAATTATTTAAAATGAGTAGGAATGGAACCGCTAGTTTAGGAACTGTATACTTATTGATTTCCTTGATCTCCTCTGATATGAACAAAAATAATTAAGGCAAATATTCATTTTTAAATTTCTCCTTTGTTGTCTGTGATTACTTCCATGTATTCTTTTAAATCTCGGCAGTTCCTCCCTAGATTATTAATCCCAGCTCTTCATGTCTTCTTTCAGTCAGAAGTAAAGGGCTCCATGTGATCTTTAATTGGTGGAATGCATGCATAATGCTTGGTGGTCGATGTAGAAATCAATGTGGTAATAGTGAATTTAGGATGGCATACTGCAAAAGACCTACAACTCTCTGCTGCATAAAAGAATGTGACCCTACGGACCCAAATAATTGAATCCCAAAGGACTCAGTAGGAACTCAAGAATGATACCGGAAAGACTCAAGTCATTGAGGAGATCCATCTACAAGAAGATGATCCAACTTAACAAAGTTTTCTCATCATTTCATCACTTCATTAATAACCTCTAATTTCTGTGAATGCATATCTATATTAAATAAATAATTAAATAAAATATATTTCAGCCTGAAAGGTTTATAAACATTGTGCCTGCTTGGAAAAATGACTCAGAATACAGAGCAGGGATTTGAACTCGGAAATAGAAGCAGCCTGGAAAAGGAAGTCCGTAATGGGACTACCAAGTTTAGTGATATTCTGGGGGCAATTCCTTATTTGGTATGAAAAGCATATTATGAGTCGCTAGTGAAGTATTATCAAAAGTTCTTTGAGAAGTCTCTGGAGTGAGGACAGAGTTGATAAGAGATGTGATCCCTGAACTAGTAAAAATTGTTGCAAGAAATTTGAAGGACTATGAAATCCTCATAACTTTCCCATATTGGTTATACTTCCTGATTATACTTTTTCTCTCTGTTTTGAAATAATTATAAAAATAAAAACTACCTTTTTTTCCCCAAAATAATCCCAAAAGTTAGAATAGAGGGAGGCTATATTGAGGAGGAAAAAGAAGTATGGTAAATCCTTGTAGCTCCTGGCAACAAAAATAAGGTGGAATTATGATTAACTTTTTTGCTTTGTTTTACTTTGCTTAGTGTTTTTAATATATTTCCACATGTTATCAGATTATTCTTATCATGCTAATTATTGGTGTCTTAGTAAATTTTAGGCTTTTTAAAAATAATGTAATAGAAATATATTTGTGTGTATGTATGCACACACATATAATTTCTATTATAGAAATTTCTGTCATAGCCAGGGATTATGTAGCAAGGATGTGCTAACAAAGTCTAAAATGTGGCTTTGAGGGAAAGGGTCAGCTTATTACCTCATCTAGATTAAACAACTTGCCCTTATTCAAACATTTTGAAATATAAACTCTAAAATAGGTGATGATTTTGCAGGGCCTGGTATGTGCTAAATATTACTTAAAGAATGTTCTTTAGGCTGTGTCCTTGGCTGGCAGCTTATTTATTATGTGACTTATAACCTGTGGACTAAGGCCACATAAAGAAAAGGGAGCTAGTCACTTAAATTTATGTGGTAACAGGTATTTAAGTTGAGTCTACTTGTACCCAGTAGGTTTTTTAAGCTGCTGTTACATATAAACATGTCAGCTTTGTTAAGATAATCAAAGCATATTCTGTATACAGTTTCTGGGCATACGGGAAAATGCATTCAGGTTTCCAAAGTAGACATGATGTTTCTGGTATGTATACTACTATGCTCTCTAATCAGTGTCAATTTGGAGCTAAATAACCATATTTGCATCTTGTGATTTTGATTTATGATCCAAACTCTGAACCCCACTTCAGGAGTCTCACAGTATACTGTGAATTTAAGATCATCAGTGAGTACTAGAACTCTGGAATTGGAGAGAGACAGCACACAGCTGGTGACTTCAAGGAAAAGGAAATGATAGAGAACTTTGGTGAGAGCCTGTTCTCTTATCCATGAACTGAGTTAGACTCATGTGGGAGAACAGGAGATCTGATGTCATGTGGCTCTGCTTGATTTAAGGTAAGGTAACAGATGATAAATTAGCTTTTTCTGCTTTAAGCTAGCTTTTTCCATCACAAACCAGTTGGGTCTTGTAAGCAAAAATAAGAGTTATTGCTGAAGTTTCTCATCTTTATAAAAATATATCTATCTACACTATTTTTTCCAATTATCTTTCTGTTACGGGATTGCTAGATTTATCTTTCTATTCTTTTCTAAAAAGTCTGCCATGCATTTTTATTGAGTTAAGGAATAATGAAGATTTTTCTAACTGATAAAGTAAAATAATAATTTGTATGACAAGTAAATAGAATTCCTTCATTGTTCTAAAGGGAATTCTGTTCTCTACTTGACCAGTAAAGATAATATGCACATCATTTTCACCATTTTTATTATACAGGAAAGTGAGATTTTGATAGGTTCAAAATAATTAGATTCCATATTATTAATTGACTAGATCATTTCTTTATCTTATAGTTAATGAAGAGAATCCAGTTTGTCTGGTAACAAACATAGAGAGAAGGAAAAAATAAAATAAGAATTTTAAAAGTAAGAGAAAAAAAGACTTTTTCAACCTTAAATTTGACATGATAAAACAATTTCTAAATCTTCAGGAGTTTTAAATTAAATAACTATATTCTACTTAAATTTGAATTATATTACTTTACATTGCTTTTTCTTATAATACACTTTTCCAAGACACCATTCAGCTTGATCAGGAAGAACATTTCAATTAAGAGATCTAGCTCTGGAGTTAGATGGACAGGAATTAAAATACCAGCACTATCACTTTTCCTTCAAATCTACAGAAGTTACTTATATTTATAAAACAGTTATTTTTATTTTTATAAATAAAAAAGTTTTTATTAAGCTCTAAGAGTTAAGTGAAATAATGTAAAAAAACCTACGTTGTTACCTGGAAATTCTTTAACATTCACTAAAATCATAAGTAATATTTGTGGGGCTTTACATTTTGGCCAATTAACAAGTGTCAGATCAACTAAATATTTCCTAGAACGAGAGGCTGATAGAAAATTTGAACTAAAACAATTCTTAATGTTATTATAGCCAAGATCCTCATTTTATAAATAGGAATTTTGATAAAAAGAGGTATAGAAACTCATTGAATACCAGCAGATTTGAGCCTATAGACATAAATACTCTGATTCCTAGTCTTACATGTTTCATAAAATTGTCTGGCTCACAAATCATTAAAGCTGAAAACAACTCAAACACTCAATGCCAATAGATGGCCATATGGCAATAACAAAGTTATTTTTAAAAATGACAAAATCATCTGGAACAGTGGGAGGGCAGCTCCTGAGAGATTTTGTAACCAGATAAAATTAATTTTGCATTGTATTTCCTTTTAATGGCCACACTGACTATAAGCTAAGGAAACATACAGTTTACTGGTCAAGGCTGTTTATATACGAATTTTTTATTTTTCATTAAAATAATCCAATTTCTATATAGGCAATTTCCCTGTTTTACTTCAGAGAAGACAGGCTGCTACAGATCACATACAATTGCTGAGTAAACTTGGGTTTGATGCTTTCATAATAACTATATTAAAGTTTCCTCTATTTCTAAATCTTCAACTTTTGATATTTATTGTGCCAGCCTCAGAATTTGTCATTCGTTTGTAATAAAATTAACCTGGATGTTTAGCGTCTCAGAAATCCTTGATTTATAACACAATATCACCAACCTCCAGTATTTGGGCAACTTGAGCACACTGTCCTCAATGTTCAAAGATGGGCTAGAACTTAGACACTTGGTGTTCAAATTCCGGCTTTACCTTTCTTAGCTGTTTAATGTCAAATGAGTTACTTTTTGTGTGTATGAATGTCCTCATCTGTAAAATAAATCAGAATATTCTTATCTCACAAAATTACTAAATGTAGCACTGTATCCAGTTCTGTAGCTTGGTATTCCATGGAGCTTATATTTCTCACAGAGGGGAATCAATTAAGACAGCAATAAGAAAATAACATTTTAAATTTTGTTATTCATTCTTCCATACAAGCTTCTTATCTTATAATAATAAGATATAATTATATATAATAATTTAAGTGGAGCATGACTTTGAGAATATATACACAGATGGCTGCATACACAAAATCCTCAAACAAAAATCACATGCACAGTGACAACTTCCTACCCTTCCACGCGGACGTACACATAAACACACATCCGAACACAGGCACATGAAGACACCAAGTAAAGAAGTATCAGCTCCACACAGTCATCGGCTGCTAATATGTGCCCCAGTTTGTTCTGCTCATAAATTTACTCCTTTATAAGACAAATATTGTTTATTTTGAGTGGTCATTTACTAGATATTGTGAGATAAATGAAGATAAATAAAATGAATGCCTAAACATTAGAGAGCAGATAAACAATCAGTCTGAAAATGTCTCAAAACCAGGAGAAATATAATCAAGATAGCGGGATAAAAAGCCTAAGACCTTTTTCTCTCACAGATACACCAACTTAACAGTACACTCCAAAAAGCCTGTATATGATTTAGAAACCAGTAAGGAAGTCTCAAAACCCAAGGAAAACTTAAAGTCAAAAACATCTTTATGAAAATAATTAAGAAAAGTTTTTCATGTCAACTACATCAATCCCTTCCCCAAGCCAGCACAGCTCAATGTAATAGGGAGAAAACTCCACACTTCTTACTTGGAATGTAAAATGAAGAATGGTATAAAAACCCAATGTTCTTTTTAGGGAGTTGCCTGAAGAACTGCTTTCTGTCTTGATTGGCTTGGAGCACTGGTGGAACTGTCATATCTTGATGGCCTTGGAGCCTCAGAAATCAAAAGAAAGCTCAGTGACTTATTACAGTGCCAGACAACTTGTATCACTATAGCCAAATACTAGAGTGGGTAAAAGATTAGATCCTGAAAAAAAAAAAAAAAAGCCAGCAACAAGAAAAACTGGCAAACATTCCTAACTAAGAAGTGACACATGTAAGCCCATAATAGACACATGCTTGTAAACAATTTAAAAGGCCCCAGAATCACTGGCTGGGCTGGTTACTGAAGGACTCTTCCTGTACCAAGCCACAAGTTATTTGAAATTATTGTGTCAGAGGAAAAAAAAAGAAAAGAAAGCAAAGAAACCTTAGGGATTTATGAAGCATCAGCAAGCTAAAAAATATATACATTATGGGAGTTCTGAAAGAATAAAGAGAAAAGGGACAGAGATTTTATTTAAAGAAATAATGATAAAATATTTTCAAATTTGAAGAAGGAAATAAACAACCATATTCAAGCAATTTAAAGTACGCTATCTAGGATGAACACAAAGTGGCCCACATTGAGATACATTAGAATCAAAGTGTCCAAAGCTGATGACAAGGAATCTAAGAAGCTACAAAAACAAACTAACAACAACAACAAAAAAGCCCCAACAAATTCATTATATGCAAA